ATCCATGGAATAGAAGAAAATTAAAAAATTGATGAACATTTAGGGCCCATCAACTTCCCCATACACCTTATCTTCTACTGTCCATAAAATAGCATACATTTTAAAATGAAAATTTCTAGACTCAGTTTGTCAAGTTTTTTAATTGTTTTTAAATTCTCTTCTGCTCAGTACAGAAGAGAAAAATGCGTTACTGCACTTCCCAGGGCCAATATTCAGTTGATAACATTTTTCAGGAGATGTGGGAAGAACTGTGGGTGTTTGTATTTTAAATAAGACTATCTCCAGATATCTTTTCCAAATTTGGTGAAACTTTGTGCAACATAACAAACAGAATACTTCATAAAAACAAATGAACTTTATTAATAGGGCATTTTATTGCCAATAGTATAGACATTTTTAAGTGCTAGAATTATACAGAGAAATATAAACATCTGCAAACTCATTTATACCTCCATAGATGTAAGGAAATACAAAAATCTGCATGCCATTTCCTTTTAGAGTGAAAATACAAGCCTCTTTCCTCAATTGTAAAGCTACAGCATCCCCTTGTGGGATTGATAGTAACTGCATGAAAACTCAAGATACATTTACCCTCAGGATTTCAGGCACATTCTTTCTAATTTTGATATTAGGAAAAGTAATTCTGTTGTTTGAAAAATATCAATTTGCTTTCCTTTTTGCATAACTTCCTTGGCATTTATCTATTATAGTTTTCTAAAAACGATTTTTAATGGTTCAAATTTAATTGTATTCTCAAATTATAGCATGGGGATCCAGTAACTTCCCATTCCATTCTCAGCTGTTTAGTTCATTAGTACTGATGTATGTTTTATTCTGATGCTTCTGTTAAATATCAGTTACCTTGTTATCTTGTTAGTGTTGCTATTAGCTTATTTTTACTTAACCTATGTATATAATAGAAGTTTATTTGATGTTTTGAGTAGGTAATATATTCCCATAGTTCATGGGTCAAAGGTAAAAATCTGTCTCCTGCCTCTGTCCCCTAGCTACTCAGTTTCCCTCTTCTGAGACATGTCCTCATTTTGAGTTTCTGAAAATATTTTATGTACATACAGGAAAGTACATATGTAACTTTCCCCTCCTTCTTTACATAAATAGACACGTACTGCGTACTGTTCTACACGTTGCCTTTTTTACTTGATGTAATAGCACTTCTATTATATTGATTGACTCTTGGTAGTGATTAATTACTGCCTTGGTTCAAATCCTCTGTCTGCCATTAACTACCTATGTGACCTTGGACAACTTATTCAACCTGTTTGCTTCTAGCTTTCTTTACCTATAAAGTGGGAACGATACAAGTAGTGCCTGCCTCCTGAAGTTGATAGAGGATGACATGAGTTAATGTAAAGTACGCTGCAAGTACTGTGTTAGTCGGTGTAACTCGTGCTGTCATTGTTGTAATT